CGGCCGGGCCCGGCGTGCGGTGAGGGCGCTGGCCTGGTTTGCTCCGCCATGCCCGAGCCTCTGGCAGATGGGAAGGGTAAGTCCTTAAAGTAGCTGATCCTCGCTGGTTTAAAAATACATAGGTGTAATTGTTCAGAAGTTACTGAGTTGCTTCTGCAGTGCTTTGCCAGGTTGGCGTCCCTGGAGGCCTGACAGATGCGTAGGTTTGAGCACGAGCCTGGATCCTGTGGAGCAGGCAGGGTTTCCTCCTGCAGCAGCCTTGCAGACAGGCCCTTTGTGCCTCACGGCGCTCCCCTTGCGTGCAAGGCGGCAGGTCCAGCAGGGCAAGAAATCTGCAGCTGGGGAGGGGTGGGGGGCGTTTCAGGCTCCAATCCCTGGCCAGAGGGCTGGGGACCAGGCCACGCCGACAACCTGTGGGCTGTTGCAGCCCTAGCACGAGGCAAAGCTGGCCTGGCTGCCATGGGCCCTGGGAGGAGGGGCTGGTTTTGGAGTTTTCCTGCCCTGCCCCGTGCTGGTAGGCGTGCAGTGGTGCTCACCGCATGGGCCACGCGGTGTTCATGGCTGAGCTGTTCCCTCTGCCTGGGGCCTGGTGGCTGCACAGCATTTACTGGTGCATGTGTGACCTCCTACCTTTGCACTGGGAAGGCAGAAGCTTCATATGGCCATAAAGGCTCAGCCTGCAAAAGTATATAACCTGTTCTCTCGCTCTGCCTGCCTCTTCTTTTTCTGTTATAGAATCATAGAATGTGTTGGGTTGGAAGGGACCTTCAGAGGTCATCTAGCCCTACTCCTCCCCCGCAGTGAGCAGCGACATCTGTAACTAGATCAGGTTGTTCAGAGCCCCATACACCCTGGCCTTAAATGTTTCCAGGGATAGGGTCTCCACTGCCTCCCTGGGCAGCCCATTTGAGTGTTTAAGCACCCTCACTGTAAAGAATTTCTTCCTTATATCTAGTGTTAATCTACCATTTTAGGTTAAAAACAGTACCCCTTGTCCTGTCACAACTGGCCCTGCTAAAAAGATCATCCCCATAATATTCTATATCTCTATATAATACCTGTGTTGGCTGTCTAGCCCTCTGCTGCCGAAGCCTCATACATCAGTGCTTTTTCTCTGGACTTTTGCAGTATTTCCCCTGTCCTATGTGCCTGTTAGGCACGCCAACCAGCCAGATCTTTTTGGGGAAGGATTTGCATGAATTCAGTTGTTGCCCTTGGGTCTGCTGGGGGAGGTGGGAGTGTGACATGGCTGCTGCGGGTGTGCAGCCACCTAACTCCCGGGGACCCGCTGGTGTAAGTGATGACTGAATTCTTTCCCCGACAGAGCGACAGTGTTGATTTCTCACTGTTCAAGCCAGTTCATGTCTGATACACCAGC